TATCCCTCCGACTTGACATTTTCCTCTCTCCCCTCCACCCCCGTCTTCCCGTACCTCCCTCTAAACTGAGCCCACTGTGGCAGATTTGAGACATTAATTGAATAATTAATTCCTCTCATTAGCTTGTTTTTAATTATTTCCTCGCCTCCCCGTCTTTTTTGCCAAGTATAAACTCGTCCTCTGTTTTCATCCCTCCACCTAAATTACCCATGAAAACTGAGGGCTGGCGAAGTGTCGCTACTGCACACTTCCTCTATCAGTGGTTCCTAATGAGGGGATGGGCAGCCCAGGCGGAACATGCCTAACACTGGCTTCATGCACCAGGAGGCACAATACTAATTTAGCTCGTTTAGTGTCCTTGGGCCAATTAAGGGGAGGCAAAAGGGGCCAAAACCGCGAGCTGGAGTTGCTTTCACTATAGGAACGGTGGCCTTTCATGCAGTGCTCGTTTGTTTGCAGTGTGTTGCCCTAATGGAATGTATTTGCCCTACATTCTCCAGATTTGGCTCCTTTGAAGGGCCTTATTACTTGTGACACAGATTCCTTCTTAGTTAAGGGGTAAATTGTGCTAAAGAGTGTAATGTCTACTTTGTCTACTTCTGCATTCTAATAAATTCACATGGTGCCCAGTTTGATCATTACATTAAAATGAGACGACCCAATTAACCCAAAGAACCATTTAGTCCTACAAAAAAGAAAACATTTTCTGGTGTTCACCTCATCTGTTTCTTCATATATTGTTTATTTTTGTATATCTGTGAATTGCTTACATCATGTATGTGGCTCATTCTGTATTTTCTGTCCTTTAATTGCTGCATCATTATTGTTATGTTTCATTCTTGATTTCTGTTTATTTTTCTGTTTTCCCTGCATGTCTTTCATGTCTGTTTACGGCTGACCGGGGCCACGTGTCACATGTTTGTTGTCACGTTTCAGTTTAAATGTAGCCAGACAGAGAGTGGAACCGCCGGCATCCATACCAACAAAGGTACAGTAAAACCTACCCATGCTCCCTGATCACTTCCAACATACCACCTGCTACATTTTTCTTACATCCAGACACGGTTCCCATGGTCCCAAAGTGGGAATACTGGCTCTGCCTGGAAGGTAATGAGCCGCATACAGGAAAATATTGCTGAAAAATCTCTAAAAAAAAACGAAATGCCTTTTCACTAACAGGATTTTTTTTTTTTTTGTTCTAGTAGCTGATGTACTTCCCCAGTGAATCAACAATTTTGCACCTTAAGCAATGTAATTTTGTTTCAGTTCATGCACAATTAGAAGGTTATACAAACACCTTCATCTAAGGACGTTGTGGTGCCTGGAAGTTTCTCTGTAAAAAACAGTGCAGTCAATGATTATTTTAAAACTGTTGTAATTCCACAGAATTAAATTAATGTTGAAACTCTAAAGTCAAAGTAAGCCCAAATGTGCACAGTGTTAAGTCCTATGTAAGCCACTGTGCAGTACATACAGCCCCTGTTACCATAATAGTAAATAAGAAATTGAACGTGTTGAACATAACACTTTAGCAGGTTAACAGGTATTGAATTCTTGGTTTAGGATTAGATAAAAAGGAGTGTCATCAACGAATGGGTTGATTTTCTAAGTCATTGAGAAATCATAGCTCAACTTGAGTGAGAGTTATCTGCCCATTGATTGGTATCTGTGTTAATGAGTACAGGACATGATAATCATTTTTATGAAAATTTGTGTTGCAACAGGAAGAGAACAAATAGATAATGACGACAATTCTGGTATTATTATTATAAAAATGATTTACAGAGCAGAGGATGTGCCTTTGTGATGCACGTGTCTCCTTCACGACTCTTTAAGAGTGACTTTTATTTCCTCAGTTTCAAATTCCAAACAGTAAAAGAGTTTTCTTTGCTGTTGTTGTGGGCTTTCGCCTCGTTCATAAGAAAGTGTAGTTTTGTTATGGACGGACGGGATCGCCTGCAGATAGAAAAATAATGCTCATTATATTTCAGCACAACAGTATTTGCCTTTTTTGTTGAAAACGTCTTTTATGTTGAGGAATGCAAAAAAAAGGCAAATGTGGCCAACAACAAAGAAAAAATGCGGAAAAAAGGAGAAAAAGGAGAAAAAGGGCAAGTTATTTAAACACAGCCATATGTGCTGCTTTTTGCGTACAATGCTTCCTTTACCATGTGCTAATACCAATAATTAAATGTCCCTTTCTGACTTTGCACTCAATGAAACCACAAGCACCACACGGTGCATTCACTGTCATGGCTTTTAATCTCAGCTCCCTTCACACCCACATGCTGTCCTTTCTTGTAACCTCTTTTTATAGTAGTTGAAGTCGCTGCAGTCATGAATAGCATTTAAAATCTGTGCAGTCACTCTGTCCTTGTGCTGTTCACTCTCAATTATACACTAACTTCTGAGTGATTTTTTTCATAATTTATACTGTATTATGAGCTTAATGGTTTATCTCAGACCATCATCTTTTAAAAAATGCATTGATGTAGCATGCCGGTACACTTATCTCTTCATAAGGGAGCTGCAGACAGGGAGTGGGTAATGTAAGGACAGAGTAGAAGACAGAAAGTGTGGTGTGAACATAAAGCAAAAAAAAAGAAAAAGAAAAAAAAAACTGCCTATTCTCCTACTGAAGGTGTGGGAACAATCCTATTGTTTCAGGGCAGGCAGTCAGTGACTATGATCCCAGACTCTTCATTTTTTCTCACACTCCCCTCCCATCCCTCCTCTTCCTCCATGTCCTCTCCCTCCCATTTCATCACCACAGAAAGAGAAGCTATGGAGCGTTCCGTCTGCCGGAGGTGAAAAGAACACACTCAGTGTAAATGGAGGAGTGTCTGGCAGAGGCAGAGAAAGGTAAAGAGGGATGAGATAGGGCTTTAGGGCAAGGAAGGAGAGGAGGCAGGCAGAGATGGCAAAACGGAATGGATAGGCACGCAGGAGCAGCGAGAATCGCGTTAGCTTAGTCTCTCGGGGATAAAGTTGGACTTAACTGCAGCATTACCCACATTTCTGCATCACAAAATGTTCCTTCGCCAGCATTTAGCATGCAAATTGGCTCCCAGATTATGCCTTTTGTATTCATTTTACCAACTGTCAGGCATGAATGCAAGGAGAATGATAATCAGACAGATATTGCCCCCTAGCGCTTGGTTGACGATCATCACAGTGCACTGAGGGGGTGGGGGGGTGGGGTTCTGTGTTGCAGCAGATCAATAGCTTGTCTGTATGTGTGATGGTGTGTGTCAGATGAAGAGATCGCAAGGTTTGAGGGCGTGAATTGCTCCCAGTTAATTCCTCGCGAGTACTTTGATGTGTCGATGCAATGGCAGAGCGATTGGATTGTTGTGGCGTGGAAAACAAAAAAAAAAAGGATGAAGCTGGAGGTGGAGTGCTCTCAATAACATTTGGTTAGTGGAAATGGAGATGCTGCCTAATGATGTACATCCAATGTGTACAAACAGGTACAGAGATGTAAATCTGATCGGTTGTCAATCACAGCTGCTTCATATTTATAAATAGTTTTATACAATTTATGCATTTTTTTTTATTTGTCAGCACCCCACCCACACCTGATAACTGCTGGGATTGGCTGCAGTTTTGTCCCACAACAGCGAATTAAGTAGAAGACAAATTAATGATTTGTTGCAAATTCATCCTCAGAAAATCAATTTAAATTATGATTTTTTTTTTTAACAAAGTCATAATTTATGTGGCAAGAATTACAAGTGTTTGTTTTCACCAAGAATCTCTGTGGAGAAATCCCTTTTGTCACGTATCAGCTCATATCTGTGAAATCACTGCTGTGAGACATCAAATTGTATTTGAATAATGGACCTTATCTGATGCATAATGACTGGGATTAATCTAGCTACACAAAGTGGTAGCTTTCACTCAGGGCCTGCATCCCCTAGGGGGTATGCAGAGGTACTACATAGAGTTACTTAGATTTTTGTTGAATCAGCTAATATCTTCATATATGGTTACCCTAATGTACTCTTAAAATATACATGATTATAAATTGTTATTGCTAATCTGATCTTCATTTAATATCTCAGTATATATATATATATTTTTTGTTTATGGCAGTGGCACTAAAAATTCATTTCCATTATTCTAGCAATAGCTTTTAGGCATTATAATCATGCAAATAACATAAGACTATGTCAGTTTGTGTCATCCTTGGGGTCACAACTCAATGTGGGGTCACCTGGAGTTCAAAACAACTGTATTCTTTTCATGAATATAAATGAAGTTTAAAGAAGATGCAGCATATAAACATATCTGAGCTGGCGCATCTTGACTGACAGTTGCGATCACATGACTGCACAAGTGACAGCTACTGAAATGTCTCTGGGGTCGGCAGAAATTTGTGAAGTCAAAGAAGGGCCACATGCCAAAAAAAGGTGGGAACCACTGGGCTATGTTGAGTTTTTGAACTTGTGTGTTGTTGTAGTAGATGTATGTTTTTACATGGCAGTTACCTTAATTTCACGTGTTATGGCTTTTTGTTGTTAACATCGCTGGCTTTTTACTTAATGGCAAGAAGGGTGTTTTAATATCCATCAGTGATGGATCTTAAAAACTGCATTGATGCCAATCTGTCTGAAGCCATTCAGTTAACTACTCTATAGACTTTTACTGTGCTGACCAGAGCATGAATGAATGTGACTGATTTCCACTCAAGCTGCTTTATCCCCCACACACAGTCCCTCAACACTGCCACAAGACTGCCCCCTACCTTCACATCCAGTTCATTGATGATATTTTAATATCTGCGACAAAGTTATTTGACTACAGTGGAAGATCTGGTACTAGCATAGAAAGGTAAAAGGATGACAAGGTCTTCTGAAAGGTTGTCATGTCACATTGTGACTAATAGTGTGGGTTTTTTTTCCAGAAAATTCCAACATACTCTACCTCTTCCCTCAAGGCTCCTTTCAGTTCAGCTAATATACTCTTCTTATTTTTTTTGTTTGTTTTTTTTTTTTCAGGACAAGCCAACTCCAGAGGACCAGACCTCTTGGGACAGCTTCAAGAACATGACCCCCGAGTTGTCCATCGTGCCTGGGGAGCAGAAAGACCGGATGGAGCTGCACAATAAGAACTGGGACTCCTCCTCTGCTAACACGCCCGAATCCTCTGAAGGAGATTTCCAGACTGAAGTGTGAGGACAGGCAGATGTGCTGCACACACTCTCTTGAACACACACACTCTGATCCTCAGACACAGTACAGATGCTGACTCCCTGAAATCTATACATAAGTCATTATTTTTTGCCAAGACCTCTCACACACACACACACACACACACACAGACACACACACTGCTCCCCGTCTCCTGCGATGTGCTCTGTCGGATTCCAAACTGTATTTGTTTACTTTTGCAATGGAAAGACATGGAAAAGAGGACCGTTCTCTATATTTTCACAAAGACTACGGGAAAAAGAAAGAACAGGGAACTCGACGTGTCTGCAATCGAAGACGATTTTTAAATGAACTCGAAAAAACCTGTGGAGAAATTATTTCTGCGAAAAAATGTCTTGATTTTATTCTAGAGATAAAAAAAGAAATTCTATGTGAACTGTTTGATGATGGGGAGGGTTGGGAAAAAATATTTCTGCACCAT